ATTTTTGTCAAAAATACAAGTGAACAAGCTTCGGTTACAATTCATGGCCCGCTCAGTTAAAAGACACTTAATTTATTAATGATGTACTGTGCTTCATGAGTTATCTGCACTCCTAACCTGAGTGCAGGTTTGGCGTGTATTAATTAATTTTATTAACTCAAAATCAGGCTGTAGCAATCCTTTAATTTGAATTGCACTCAGAGAAGTAGAACTTCATCCGTCTTTCTTGTGTCTGGAGTCAGATGTTCCTCTGTTTGCAAATGAACTTTTTGTGCATCCTAAACAAGCCCTGGGAAGATGCTGGAGGGGAAGAGAAGATGCAGGATGGTAGCCACCATGTTCCTTCCCGTGGCCACTGTACCCAGGATAGCCTTCCAGGGTTTCCTGCTTCCAGCTCAGAACGTCAATTTGCAGTGCTCACATCCCCATAGCTTCTTCCTGTCTTCGCTCCCCCCTTCCTGAGTAGCCACACTCCTGCACTTCTTTGCTTGTGAATGAGCCGTTCGTGTGAACGCAGCGTAGAAATATAGAACCCCACTTTTTCATATGCTGTCAGATAGAGAAGATCGGGAGGCACCCATAACTGCATTCCCTGGATTGTTTTCCAGAGTGCACCATTCCAGTTTGGAATAGAGCAAAAGTTTATTGGAGATGACATATTACTAGGGCCGTGTTGGGCCCTTCCGGTGTTTGGGTCCAGCTGGGGCTGATGGTGCCGTAGGCCATAGTGTCCGGAGAGTCACCAGCTGCCCTAGAAGGTCCTGGGCTGTGTGGAGCAGGAAGAGGAGATGGGGCAAAAGAAACTTGAAGCGGGTCCTTCGGTTTCCACCCGGAGGCAGCAACTGCTGGCTGTGAATATTCTCTCTCACTCCAGGCATGCCCCCAACCGCCTTTCAGCCCCTCCACCAGGTTCCTGCAAGGACACTGCATTTCCCGTTGCTTGTGTCACCATCCGCTGTGGGCAGCAGGAGGCCTGGCTGCTGCGATGGGCCAGGGTCAGAAGTCACCAACTTCTGTTCGCTTTGGTGAAGACGTGGCACAAAACGACCTGCTGTTCTCTCGGCTCCTGGGGACTCCCACATCCGTGGGGGCACATGGGCTGCAGACTTTAGGAGAATCATTTTCCAGGTGCCAATTCCCACTGGGCGAGGAGAACTTTTATGACATCCACTCTGGGAGTCTTCCGGAGCCCACAGAAAAGCTTTTCATGCTGCTGGCACATTGCTTTTCTGCAATTAGCTAGCAGGAGAATGAAAGCAGGTTTCACAGAGCACTTAATATATAGCTCTACCCCATGGCCAAGATCCTGCTATCGTGTCTCCTCAGAGTTAATTTCCATTTAGCAAAGATCGGGTCTAATGCTAATTGAAAGCTTTACTGTGCGCAGCCCTTCATCTTTTTATTCTTCCCCAGGTCAGCTTGCTTGGGGAATTAGCTGTGATTGCACCGTGATTGCCCCTTATTAGTCAGCTTTTATCGTTGTGGGTGGAGATGGAATATCAATGTATTCTTTCCTTTCTGGTGTGCACATGCGTAGCTGCACACACACACTTTCCATTATAGCGAAGTGTAGCTATTCATTATAAGGGAAAGGAACACCCCGCGCCCCCCTCAAAAAAATCTACATCCAAAATGGGCTGAGCTCCTAAGAGGAAACTTTCCAGAAAAGAGGATCCCAGGAACTGGGCAAGAATGTAGGGGAAGAGGCACCACCAGCTCCTGAAACCCCAAGCTGTGAAGGATTTCCTCGGATAGCGCCAGGACGCTGTACCTGAGGTGGAGCGGAACCGTGAGCTGTGACAGGACGAGCAGTGTCCTGCTACAGAGTGGACATTCCTGTTTGAACAGCTGTGCCTGCACAGCCCTTTCTCTGAAGCTGCCCTGTTTGTCCCGTCCAAGCCCAGGTCAGCAAGCAGAGGGGCCTTGGCATTGCCCCCCCCCCTCCACAAGAGCATCAGGACAGTCCCCTGAGCAGACACCTGTCACCTGGCCAGTTCCCTTACTATGATGTGATGTGCTGCATTTTCATTTAAAATGCTGCAAGGCTGGGGGAGGGGGGGGATGGCCTGTTGGGAAATGCATCACAGGCATGGACATTAGAGGACCTTTCCAGCACCGGGCCCCCCAGACGGTGCTTCTCGCAGCGCATCCGCAGCTTTCCTTGCGCTGCCTTGCTTTCCACCGCCGTCTCCTGCATGGGCCTCGACGCGGCGTCCTCAGCCCTCCTCTTGCTCCTTACCCTAATCCCTAATCTTTCCCTATTTCCCTGTGCTAATCCTATAAATCCTCCATTAATCCTATCTGTCTAGTTGTGTCTCTGTCAGCCTTTTCTGTCTTTATGTGCACCGTGCGGGCAGGGGAGGCACAGAGCAGGTGAAGCCGCGTTCCGGGCATCCCGGCTGTAGGGCTTCATAGGTCCCAGAGCCGTCTCCATGCACCCCTTCTGTCTGTGCGCATACTGCAGCTCTGATGGGGAGGTAAAAACCAGTCTGCCCAGTATGGGGAAAACAGTCAGCCCCTTCTGCTAACATCCTGGGACCATGGAAGTGCTGCGAATGGGGGCAACCCCCAAGCCTGGCTACTTTTTGCTTGGGAATTTTAATGGGCCTGCACATGTGTCCAGAATAACACAGATATCCATTAAAACGGTGAGTAAGGAGGCGTGATGGACAGCAAAAGCCTCATCTGGATGCATACACCTGCCATAGTCACAACAAACCCTGGTCTGCTGAGCACTGATTTCCTCCTTTTCTCCGTTTGAGAAGAGTAGGCTTCTCAAATTAGGATCCCAAACCATGGTTTGATCCTGGTTGGAAGGTCAACTTGTTCCCCACATTTGGGCAAATAATGGTTTGCCATTTGGAGTAAGAGTTGTCAGCCTCCTCCCCTCATGCTAAGGAAAGGGAAGTGGCAGTCTGAAAGACTTCATATTCTCATAATGACAAACCACGGTTTATCGTTACTTCTGTTCCCATGTCACTTGTTAGCGTTGGTCTCATAAATGAAAGCAACGGTTTGCTATCTCATTTGTGATTCTGACATTGATTAGGGCTGTCTGTATAAAAGTGAACCATGGTTTCACATACATCATTTGTTAATGTTGGCCTCATAATGGCAAACCATGGTTTGTTGTTACATTTATCATTCATTCGCTTGCTAGGGTAGTTCTGCTCATTGCAAACCACAGTTTGTCCTTTCATTTATCATGGTGTCACTTGTTCAGACTGCTCACTCCATATTCTAGTATTCTTACCCCTGTGCATTTCCTTTAATTCAATCTCTAAGGGATGGCTTGTTTTCAGAGGGACAGATTTACTGTGGGTCTCCGTTCTGTCTGACTGAAATGAAACGATGACAGTTGTGGGTTGGGAAGTAAGAGGAACAAGGTAGGGATGCAAACTCTGTTGAAATTACCAAAAGAGACTTTTGAAGGAAGAGAAAGGAGTGTCATGACAACACTCAATTTTAAGAACGTATCATGGGCACTGTGACTGCTCCAGTACAGCAGCTTGGCTTTATCAAAGAAGGGAAAACAGGTGAGGCTAAAAGATAGACAGCCTGCCAGGAACAGGTCCCCTGGTTTCACACTCAGCATCTCCAAGCAGGTTGCGGCTGCTGGTCAGTGTCAAGAACACTGCACTAGATGGACCAGACCAAATCGGTTCCCTTCGCTTGCAAGAATCACACACGCACTTCCAAGATTTTGGAGGCCTCATACCTCGGGATGTGTCTCGGCTGGCTGCGTGAGAGAAAGGGAAGAGCGGTGCCAAGGGCCGCCAACATTTCTGCCGACACAGATCCCGTGTGTGGACTTCGTCACGCTCGGCCTCCATACAGCAGGCCAACAGGCAGAACCCCCCGGAAGCTTATCCTGGGCTGGGCATGGTGGGGGAACCCCGTATTCTAAATTCAGAGCAAATGGGGTGTGCGTGCATGCATGCATGGGAGGGCCAGCCAAGAAGGAGCCTGCACTTGAGCATGAGAACTGGGCCCTTGGTCCACCTAGCCCAGTGCTGTGGGCACTGACTGGCAGCGCCGGCCATCCAGGGTTTCAGGCCCGGGACAGTTCTGGCGCTACCAGGCAGTACTGGCTGTTGAACCCAGGGCCTGCTGCAAGTGAAGTGGGGGCTCGGCTGCCAAGCTGCGGTCCCTGCAGCTCCGGGGAGGAAGAGTGCCCTCTTGGTGCCACGACGGTCTAAAAAGGCCCGCGTAGCACAGACCACTGACCTCTTCTGGACCGAGGCAGAATTGCTCTGCAGCGTTTCTGGCATGCAGCAACAGAGATTCTGCATCGCCCCGGCAAGGGCCTTTTTGTGGTACCGCAGAAATGAAGCGCTGTGCCCTCACCTGTGGGAAATAACTCCTGTCCCAGAAAGCGGCCATGCAAGGGGTGCCTGTGTGTGGGAGGAGCTCGTGGCATTGCCACTGCAGTCCCCGCCCCCCCCCGACACCCACACCTGTCCTTTTTCAGATTCTGCAAAGGCAATTATTGATCCCAAGTTTTGGTCAGATTCAGAGTAATATATTATTGTACTGTGTGTTTAAATCATCGTTATCCTGTTCCTCAGCTGCTGGGCGGCTGGAATGGCTTACACAGAACCAGTCGAGACAGTTCCTGCCCACAGGCCTTCAGTCTAAGAAGACACAATGCATGAGGAAAAATGGAGGGGAGGGGAGAGGAAAAATGCAGTCATTTGGGGCACAGCTGCTGGGATGGCCCTGCCTCCCCTCCCCTCCCTTCTGCAAGGGTGGCCAAGGTGGCAGCTTGGGTGACCAAGACCAGGGGCAAGATGGGAACATGCTGTCGCTTGGGTTTCCCGTTCCACGAACCCATGGCTTTTCCAAAGGCTACCAATCCAAGTGTTGCTACCATCTCCCGAGGTTTTGGGTGGGCTTGGAACACTGCACCGTTTTCTTACGCAGCCGAGGGCTCCGGGGTTCCGAGTGCACCTGCGCTCTGCCACCCACGACCTCACCAGCTCCCTCTCCTTTGCTCGCAGGGACCTACCAGGGCCAGTGGGCAGGCGGGATGCGGCAGGGCTACGGCGTGCGCCAGAGCGTCCCGTACGGCATGGCTGCGGTTATCCGGTCGCCGCTGAGGACGTCGATCAACTCCCTGCGCAGCGAGCACACCAATGGCACGGCGCTGCACCCGGACTCCTCGCCGGCGGTGGCCGGGAGCCCCGCCGTCTCGCGGGGGGGGCTTCGTCCTGATGGCGCACAGCGACGCGGAGATCCTCAAGAGCAAGAAGAAGGGCCTCTTCCGGCGGACCCTGCTGAGCGGGCTCAAGCTGCGCAAGTCGGAGTCCAAGAGCTCCCTGGCCAGCCAGCGGAGCAAGCACAGCTCCTTCCGCAGCGAGGCCGGGATGAGCACGGTCAGCTCCACGGCCAGCGACATCAACTCGACCATCAGCCTGGGCGAGGGCGAGGCCGAGCTGTCCGTCATCGAGGACGACATCGACGCCACCACCACCGAGGTCTACATCGGGGAGTGGAAGAACGATAAGCGGTCGGGCTTCGGCGTCAGCCAGCGCTCGGACGGGCTCAAGTACGAGGGCGAGTGGGCCAACAACAAGCGCCACGGGTACGGCTGCATGACGTTCCCGGACGGCACGAAGGAGGAAGGGAAGTACAAGCAGAACATTCTCGTCAGTGGCAAGAGGAAAAACCTGATCCCGTTGCGGGCCAGCAAGATCCGGGAGAAGGTGGATCGCGCCTTGGAGGCCGCTGAGCGCGCCGCCACTATCGCCAAGCAGAAAGCGGAGATCGCGGCGTCCAGGTATGACGGAGGGGAGGTGTTGTTTGTGGGGCCCCAGCACTGGGGGAGGTTGAGCTATGCCTGGGCGGAGGAAAGTTCTGGGGGCGGCCACCAGATGGACCAAGCCCAGGATGATTGGCGTGTTCTGCAAGGTAGACAGCAGGGCCTCGGTTGGGGTGGCCCCAGGTGTGAGGATGTTTTCTGGCTCAGAAGGGCAGTCTTTGCTCTGCTTTGGGCTCCTAACAAAAGCTTAAAGTGCTGCACTGTTTGAAGCACCGCAACCAGAATTACAGGCCCAGGCCCAGGCCATCTTGGCCGTTTGAGACAAGGAGTGGAGATTCGAGCGTGAAGGGTGGGCGGAAGGGGAAAGCCGCAGGAACCTCGCGGCTCGGCCTGCGTGAATTGGAGCGTTGTTCTCAGCAGAGCAAGATGAGATGCGTAAGTGTGCGGGAAATAGGCTCGGGACAGGGAGCAAAGCTCGATTTAGGGAGATGCCTTGGGCTGAATATCCTTAAAGGCGAGAGAGCAATTGAAGAATCAGACAGATCTGGGGCCCACGATGCATTTCAGTTTTTGGTTCCTCCATGTTTTAAACCAGACCTGAAGTCAAGGTGTTGAGCGTCAGGCTCCGAAGTCTGTCTGGCCTGCCGTCCCCAGAAGGCCACGCTCCCTTCCCTTTCCCTCTCCCCACCCACCAAGTGCTGGTTGTTTCCCGGGCTTTGGGACAGGGTCTGGCCCCTTCCACGGGGTTGCAAGGCTGCTCCACTGGCTCCCGGGGTGGAAGGCTGAGGTTCCAACCGTCCCGCGGCCACAGAACCCGGGGGAGGCTCCGTGGCGATGAGTCACCCTCTCGCAGCCTGGCGTATCTCAGCACAGCCGCCGTGGGTGTCATGTGTAAAGCATTTGGCAGAGCGTGCGGCGTTCTGAAAATGAGAAATAACCATCCAAGATCACCACTCGTAAAATCCAAATCAACGGCTGGTCCTTTTTCTTTTCTGTTTTCTAAGTCATGCCCCACATATTTCACACTGGGATGAAACTGGGCTTCCAGAAGCAAAGGCGTGTGGGTTGTCTGGGATCTATATCCATATCCCTTGCATCCAAATGCTTCCAGAAAGCTGGAAAAATCCCAGGTGCCGACTTGTGCAGGTGCCAGAAGATATTGTTGTTTTGTCGCCGCCCTTGCCAAAGTCACCCTGGATCTGGGAATCTGAAATACGCTGCCAGGGCAGAGAGCGGGTGGCTAGAGCTTACCTGGAACGGCGGCGTGTGTCTTGGCAGGCGCCTTGGCAGCCCCCTGGTTTCATTCTGGAGGGAGCAGCAGCCGGTCCTCTGCTCCGCGGCTCCAGACGGGCCTTTGATTACCGCCCTGGAGTCTGGCCTCCTTTCAGGCCAGGGCGACTCTGTGCCAGGGAGAGAGAACTTCTCGTACTCGGAAAGATCCCTGCCCGCCCTGGAAGGCACGGACTGTCTCTGCCCGAGCGGAGGAGCGAGGCCCGTTCCGAGCAGCGCCGTCACGATCGCCCGGGAACGCCCCTGGGACTGGCCCAGTTTCGCTCCTCCCGCATAATTACACAGATACGCAGGTTTAATTACATTTTGAACAGCAAAAAAGGCGCCTCTGCTCGGGAGGCCACCATTCTCTTGCTTGTCTTACCTTTTCCATACCTGGCCGCTCCCTTTGGCATAGGCTGGCACTGCAGTCTGTCCGTCTGTCCGTCCGAAATGTGCATCCCCGTTGCGGCCTGACCCAGCACGGCCCCCGCTGTGCCGAGAGGCCAGAGGTCCCCTTTCCGGCGCCTGCCGCCTCTCCTTCGCTTCCTCTGCCTTTCCGCTCCCGAGTGCGAACCGGTGGGCGCAGAGCTGGGGCCCTTGGGGGAACCGGGCCCTGGGCCCTGCCTGGCCTTGACACTCTCCGGGACAGGGCGCGGCCTCAGCCTGGCCCACCTCACAGGGCCGTTGTGAGGAGAAAGCGGGGCGGGGCGGGGCTCTGTGAGGGCTGGCTTCGGCCCCTCGCACAAAAGGCAGTCGGGGAGCCATCGCTCCCTCACCGAACCACACCGGCCTGCCCCTGGGGACTCGGTGTGTGGGAATCCCCCCGCCAGCGCCCCTCGCGTGTTCTTAGCAGGGAGTGGCTCTTTGGATGTGCCCCCGACCTCTTCAAGTGCAGCCCCAAGTTTGCCCTGCTCATTAAGCGGCCCTGCCCCCATCTCCCGCTTTCCCCAGAGAGGCTCCTGAAGCTGCGAAAGGAAGGCCCGGAGGCGGGAAGGCCTCGGCGGTGACCGGCGGCCTCCAAACATACGTGAATGAATAAATAAATGCACCTGCTCATTCCCACGGGGGCCTTGCAGGGGGAGGGGCATTCAGCAGCAAAATTCAGATTCTGCCGAAAAGCGATGGCCTGTGTCACATCCCAGTTTGGGGGACTGCAAAATGGGCGGATGGGAAAGAACGAGAGCGCATGCAGGGGAACTTGAGTGAAGGGGCCGTGTGGAGGAGCCGTATTTTCATTGCATGTGGGTGGGCAGAGGAGTCACTTCCACCTGGACTGGAGAAAGACACCGTGTGAACTGTGTTCTCCCAGCCTTCCCGGTTTCTGTCAAGGTGGCCTCATCTTGGCCCTCTCCGTCACGGCTTCGCAACCCTCCGAGCCCGCGCTCCGGCTGAGCGAAGCCGTGGCTGCACCCCCGGGAAGGACGGCCGCCTCGCGCTGGATGTAGGTCAGGTCCGCTGGAGGCGGAGGCAGCGCTAATCCCATCGCGTCGCGTCGCCCCTCCTCGTTCTCATTCACAACCACGGAGGTGCATGGCTTATGAATGGGTGCCTCCCTTGCTCCCAGCCTCCGGCCGCGCCACCCCTGTGAATGGGCGCTCTCATGAGCTCGCTAAATAGGTCAGGGCAAAAGGTGGCTCGCCGCCACCGGTGCTCCTTAGAGACGGATGCGCCTGCTTCGGCCAGCGCATTGGGACCCTGGCCAGCCCTGACTCGGTTCCCCTGAACAGCGCCTGCCGCGCCTTCCGCACACATGAGCCCAAGTGGATCCTGGGCAAGCAAGCCGAGCTTCTCCCTCGCCTGCCACGGCGAGCCACGGATCTCGCTCCTCCTCCCGCATTTTTTTCTAAATTTAGAAGGCCAGGTCTCACTTTCACTGGGAAGGTGCTTAAACCTGACGGAGGCATCCCGTGACCCTGATGGGTAAGAGACGGGACAGATCAAAGGACGGGCTTCTTCTCGGAGCACGTGGTAAAAGGGTTGTGTTGGCGACCTGGTGGAGCCTCTTTGGAGCTGGCGAGGAGAATGCGGATGGAGAGCGACCACCCGTGATCGGCAGCTGGGGGAAAAGTAGGGCAAGGAAGCTCGGCGTGGCCATCTGGGGAGCTTGGACAGTCGGACTGCAGTCCGGGCAGGCTGGGTCCACCTGTTTTTGAGATTAAGGACCGAGGGCAGCTTCGAAGGCCGGGAAGGGAAACACCCCACGGGGCTCCCAACGTGAAGGCGATCCAGAGGCTCCTCCGTCGCAGGGAATCCCTTTCAGTAGTAGGACATTGCTGACAGATTACAGTCTGGGGGCTGGAGGAACCTCCACCCACCCGTCGCTCTTTCTCCTATTCCCCTCCCAGGTCAACCAGAGTGGCAGGAGCGTGTGCTCCATGCATGGCCCATGACAATTTATTTATTTACTTTCCGGTTTATATCCTGCCTTTTTCCTCAAAGGGCTCAAGGCAGCTTACATCATTCTCCCGCTCCATCTTATCCCCACAACAACAACCCTGTGAGGTGGGTTGGGCTGAGAGGCTGTGACTGGCCCAAAGTCACCCAGGTGGCTCCATGGCCGAGTGGGGACTCAAACCCGGGTTGCCCGAGTCCCAGTCCCGTGCTCTCAGCCACTACACCACAATGACAGCACAAGATCAAGTGGTGGGCGCCACTTGATAGGATTCTAACCCCCCCCCCCGAGCATTTCAGTGGTCTTTCTTGGCACACGCTCCAACTTTACAGCGGCCTTTCCAAGGAGCAAAGCATGGCAAAAGGCCCTTATCCAGCCGGCGTTACGTACGCTTACATAGGCTTTGGGTCCCATTCCCCTGCATGGCCCACATACAAATGATCCATTTTTTCCAGGACGCATCGCGTCTGCTGCCACGAGCAAAGAATAGCTTTTATATAAAGTTTCCCGGCCGTGCGGCAGCCACCAGCCCGATCGGCACAGCTAGGTAGAGCGGATGGATGCTCTGCCGGCGCCTCCGTCGCGGGCCTCCCCAGCGCCGCGGGCGTCCGTCCGGAGAGAGACGCCCGTCCTGCTCCCTGCCACTCACAGAACCCTCGGCGGCAGCCCTGGCAGCCTGCGGCACGAGTGAGTCAGAGCAGAGCACCCCCTGCTCTTGCGCCTGGCGGGCAGGCCGTGGCTCCGCGGGGAGATGCAGGAGGGACAGCCACTGATCCTAATCGCATCTGACTGTGGCTCTCATCTGACTCTTCCCGGGGTCAGGCGGGAGGAGGAGGGTGTGCTCGCCAAGGGGAGGAGAGCCCGGTCCGCGGGAGAGCAGATCGCCTGTCTCCAGCCCCCCCTTACCTGCACGCAGCATTTCTGCGTCTCCAAAAGGCCTCGTCAGAGCAGGAGAGCACACCATGCGCAACTCGTTTTCTTCGCGTGGCTCAAGACAAGGCCGCGGTGGACGCTCCCGACACACTCGGAATCGTAGCAGCACCGGTTCCGATGTCTCTGGAGCTGGATAACAGAATCTAGTATTCACGCGCCTCCCGCACGTGGTTTTATACAGGGGAAAAGCCCTTTTGCACGGCTGGAAAAGGAACATCCATGTGTAAGGCAGCCGGGGGGCAGGGGGCGGCCAGGTGATGTGGGGAAGGGGCTTTCGGAGGGTCCCCAAAGTGGGGGCGATTTCAGTTGTGACACAAACAACAGCCAGTCTCTCCTCCCTCTGCCCTCCGTGTTTTTACTGCTTCTGCTTCCCTGACCACGTAGGAAGACACCCAAGCGAGCTGCCCAGCGAACCCAGTTT